CACGGGCCGAACACCTTGTTCAAATATCATACTTAGAATATTTTGGGGAATGGAATCATGTAGAGGAGGTTGAGCCGCTTCCAGTAATATAAGGGTTTGCACCAGTATCTTCAAAATTAGAAAATATCATCTGCTATTATAACACCAATTAACTCTCATTGGACTCAGAAAAGTCACATCGGCTATGTACGACCAGAATCCTAGAGGGGAAGGATGTCCGAAGGGCATATGGTCCATGCAATGCATGTCATGACATAAGAAGTTGTCCAAAACGGTGTTCAAAAAAGGCCCAGTTTTAAGTTGATAAAAACAGGGAGTGGATGAGACCTTTCCGCTTTCGGACTAATCATGAACCCTGCGCGCATCTTTCCTCTACGCAGAGGTGTTTTTATTTTCGCTCTGCTATAAATACTTTCGGAGCGAGAGTTACAATAAACGAAGGAGACAATTTGAATCATCCAATCTCCCTGACACAGCAGCCGGGATGAGGCCTCGAGACTGAGCCCAGGCCCAGGCCCAGGCCCGGGGCCCGGAGCAGGCACGTCCTCGCCGCGCTGCACAAGCCGCCCGGGTCGGCTGCAGCTAGCTGCAGCGACAGGGCTATTGTTTGCCGTCAGCTGTCGTAAACCCATCATAGTGACCACCGTCCGCAGCCCGTCCCTACCTGGTCCCGACGCAGTACCGCTGTCTGTCACCGCGCCACCAGTCGGGCGCGGCCAGACGCACCGCGAATTTTGAATATCACTAAATGGCCCTAAAAACGACTCATCTTATTGTAACTCTCGCTCCGAAAGTATTCATCGCAGAGCGAAAATAAAAACACCTCTGAGTAGAGGAAAGATGCGCGAAGGGTTTATGATCAGTCCGAAAGCAAAAAGGCCTCGTCCACTCCCCGTTTTCGACAACATAAAATTGGGCCTTTTTTGAACACCATTTTGAACAACTTCTTTCGCCATTACAGAAATCTCAGGGATCATAAACCCTTCGGACATCCTTCCCCTCTATGATTCTGGTCGTAGATGACCGATCTTACTTTTGTGAGTCCAATGAGAGTTACAATAGTGGAGGCTGTTTTGGCCAATTTTAACGTTCAATATCTCAGCTTCTATTTGAGTGAGAGAGCTCAAATTTTGTATTTACACTCATGTTGTAGTACAGAACGGCCATGTAAAATTTCATCGAAATCGGACAACTTGTTTTTTCGAAAGGTCCCCCCTTAAGTAGAGAGGCAAGGAGATGAGGCTGTGTAAATGGCCCCCGAGTGGCAGCAGGGGTGTCTGTACGTTACGCGATTTGTGGGGGCCTGAGAGGTGTTACGGTTTTGTAAAAACATGGCTAGACGCGTCTGTAGATGGCGAGTCTAGACAAGTATTGGAGAACAACGTAGCTCCTGTCAGTCGCTTACAAATCGCCTTTTTTCCTGGACTTGCCCAGAGGTCGGGGTGCATATTACTTTAATATAGACCCGAGTCTCCATATTTTTCGCTGTCATGTCTTGTCCCGAAGTCCCTTGGGGACTGCCATTTAGCCCTCTGAATAACACTTCTTAACAACTACTATGCAACTTTTGTCAACTTGGTTCCTTAATACCACTTGACTTCCACTGCAGGTGCACTTTAACACTTACTTTTTTCAGGGCGCGCACTCTGAACGAAGACAGCATCGACTTGCTGTTCGGGGCGCTGGCTTCAACACGCGGCCTCGAGGCGGTCACGGTCGGCGTTCAAGACAGCTGGGGCGTGCAAGTTGCGCCCACCATCGGGCAGCGTGGAACCATCGCGCCGTCCTTGAAGAGCTTCACCTGCGATGTTCTGCCCTGGACGGTGGCCTTCTGCAACTACATGCTGGCCGGGCACGCCGCCACCCTTGAGGCGGTTAGCTTCATAGGCGCCGACCTCTCTCCTATCGATGCCGCCTTCTTTCCTATCGACGTCGACGCCGCCCTCTCGCCGCTCCGCCTGCTGGTCGGCATGCCTAACCTCCGCCAGCTGACCTCCCGCCTGATGCCCGGGCTGAGGGAGGTGGCCGCGTGCAAGTCGTTGCGATCGCTGAAGCTCACCGTGGATGCCGAAGTAGAGTCCGTCAGTCAGGAACACGAACACGGGGCTCTGGAGCTCCTCCGCAGCGCCCACCAGCTCCGATCCCTTCATCTCCACTTTCTTCATGATGTTGATGTTGATGAAGATGGTGACATTATTGAGAGTAAGTTTACTGCTGAAAATAATGACAACATGTTTGTAAAAGAGACAGCATGTGGTGCAAACAAAATTAATTATACTTTCGCTGTTGATTTTCAACTATTAATTTTTTCTAACAGTTTTCGCTGACGATCTTATTGGTGCCCTCGCGTCTTCTGGACGGTCACAAGTGGAGGTGCTGTTCATCGAAGTCGAGGGAGCAAGTCATGACCTCATCCTGGGCCAGCTGGGGTCCGCGCTGCCCTCGCTGCCATCCCTGCGACGGCTCGAGATTAACATGGACCAGGACCCGGACATGCTGCTGCGCCTCATCACCCCCGTCACTGCCCCGTCCCTGCGGAGCCTTCAGATACGAGCCTTTGAGGCGACTCATGATATTTGCGCTCACGCGTTCTTGCACAGTGAGGAACTCGAGTCGCTCATGTCGAGGAACCCCTTGCTCCACGTGGAGCAACAATACGTGTCTTGCCGCGCATTCAGAAACATGTGCGACGTGTGCAAGCTAAGCTGTCACAAAGATGTGGATGAATTCGAATTGTTAGGAACTTTCGCGCACCCAAAAGACGAGTGTCCCTCCCCAGAGGCGCACGCTGCCATCGAACGATGCTGTTGGGTTCACATCAACGATGTACAACATTGAATTATTATTTCCGTGTTGTGAATTATTCACTATGCATACACATGACGGAATTGATTTTGTTCAACGTGTCAATCAATAAATAAATGCACAATTCATTCCATTATA